ATTAACAATGAAGATAATAGCTAAAATTAAATTTACTATGGTTAATTATGCTACTGATAATAATCAGTATTTTAATTTGCTTGGAACTTTAGTTTTAATATTTAAAGTATAACTATACTAAACTATTAAATGTAACTATTAATATAACTATTAAATTTAACTATACTACCTATTTTATACCAATACAAGGTCCAATACTGCATTATATTTACAAGAAGCTAAGAAGAATCTATCTTGAAGTTGAGTACAATTTACCATAGTCTATCAAATGCAATCTGTGTAAATCTAGTGTACAACCTACAGACTGTGAACATTCAATTTATTTCCAAACCTGTATCAGAGTCATACCAACAACCTTCTGACACCCATTATACAATATAAAACTACTTTAACAAGATTCTCAACATTTTTCATAATTTAATAATTTTTCAGCATGTGCAAACACACACATAAAGACTGAATTGCCATGACAAAAGCTTTGATTATTCTTGTAATGGCTGGTTTGTAAAACCTGGCGGTTAACCTTTTGCTTTAATCTTCAAGGATTATTCATTGCCAAGTCAAAAGAGAAATGCAAGAGGTCATTGCTGGGTTTCAGCTTCTTCCCATGGCAGCTCACTGTTGCTCGTAAGAGCCGCTCATTACAATTTACATGCTTGGAATACGATGAAATCTATTTTCAGTTTAATAACTATACATGAAGAAGGCTTTTATTTTTTCATCTCAAAAAGTTGTGATGAAAGGTTAAAAACAGGATTTTAGTACTTGTAAAAGCTACCAAGCCTTAGACAGACCTTAGGAAACACATAGTAATACATAATAGATGGTCAAATAAGAGCTATTAATGTTGAATGACATTTAAGTCATAAAATATGAGTGCTTTGAGGAACTTCAGAAATCTTCTAATCTAATTACACTTAATTAATATTTAATTACTACACAAGATTTTAAAATAAGAGTATAACCTTTCCTTTGCAATAGCAAAAAAGACAGGTTGTGATTGCTCAATGCCTATCAGCCAGAAATGGAAATTCTGATCTCTCTCCTGTACTCAAGTGACATTTGAGCCTAGCAACAGTGGCGAGAGTGGTAGAGAAGCAGCAGTTAGCAGCAGTGGTAGAAGGAAAAGGGACTCTACGTAATGCCAGGGCTGGGACCTCTGTGGGGGTATAGCTTGCCTGTCTCTAAATCCCATTTTTGCAACATTTGCATGAATTTTTGAGAGCTGGGACAGGAACTACCAGCTTTCAGGCAATACACTGTATCAGTAAATTATTACTCCCCCCAAAATACACATGTGGACATGTGGACACTTTGATATGTAATAAAGCATATCAAAGAATTATTAGAATTCTTCAGAGTTTGAAAACTTAGGCAATGTAACAAATCAAATATCCATAAGCTTATAGATAAAAATTATTTTAAAGATTGTCACATTTGATGGAAAAGAACATTAATTTCATATGAAGCTCCCGATGAACCAATTGTTAATGATAAAAACAATTTAAAATTAATTTTCCTTGCAATTGAAGATGCTGTGACAGAATGCATAAACAGGCACTTTGAGCCCTGGCCAAGAGGGTCAGTTGGTTGGAGCATCATCCTGTACACCAAATGTTTGTAGGTTCCATCTGCAACAGGGCACAAACCTAGGCTGCAGGTTTGATCCCCAGTGGGAGGCAACTGATGGGTGTTTCTCTCTCTCTATCCCTCCCTCTCCCCATTCCTTCCTTTTTCTAAAATCAATAAACATATCCTCTGGTAAGGACTTTTAAAAAATGATTGGCAATAATGTATTTGCCAGGGCAACTGACACTGCTTTCAATTATATCAGTTAAAAATGATGTTGTAAGACCTGATTAGGTAGGGTGTTGTCCAGATACATCAAGGTTGTGGATTCAATCCCTGGTCAGGGCACATACAAGAATCAATCAATGAGTGCATAAATAAGTGGAACAACATATTGATATTTCTTTCTTTTTTGTCTCCCACCCTCTTTCTCTTCCTCTTGCTCTCTCTAAAATCAGTTAATAAAAATTATTTAAAAATATGAAGTTGCTAAAAGTATACATTTTGATGGCCTAAGAAATAATTTTGCAGGAAAGCAAGCCAGAAAAAAACACATAATCAATCAAGATATCACATTAATATGGTGCTATTATTTATTATATTATATAAATTATAGCACCAGAATATTTTTGTATTTTGTAAGATTATGGTGTTACTCATTATCACTATAACATGAATTTTGAAAGTAATATATTTTTTAAAGAAAAGGCCTTATATTTTAGTAGTTTCCATGGTATTTTTTTCCTGCTTTTTTAAAACAAAGGGCCCCACATTTTTCTTTCACACTGGAACCCACAGATTATGTAGCCAGCCCTGTCTGCAATAAAGCATTTTTTTCCTCCAGGCACCACTCAAAGCTTGCAGCCGTTTGCAACCCTCAGTACAGTAGTCCCCCTGTTATGGAGGGGGGGCATGACATATTCCAAGACCCCCAATGGATGTCTGAAACTGGAAATAATACCGAACCCTATCTCTATGTTTTTTCCTATACACATCTTTTCACTTAAAGGAAGCACTTTACGGCTTCTCTTTGGCGTGTCTGAATTGCCAGTACCACTGCTCTTCTGCTTTGGAACCATTATTAAGTAAAATTAGGGTTACTTCAGTACAAGCACTGTGAAACCTCAACAGTAGATCTGATAACCAAGACAATTACCAAATGACCAGCTGGTGAGTTAGTCAAAGGGATGCACACCCGACGTGGGGCAAAGGGGGACTCGTGTGAGATTTCAAGCTACTCAGGATGGCACACAATTTAAAACTTGTGAATTGTTTATTTCCCCATTAAATGGACTTCTCCATTTAATATTTGCTGACCACATTTCACTGTTGGTAACTGAAACTGCTGAAAGTAAAACTGCAGAAAAGGGGGAGCTACCCTGTATGGGCTGAGGCAGTGTTCCTAGTTAGGATGGGTTGCATACAGAAGACCAAAAAAGTCTACCAAACACCGTGCTTCCTTCTTTGTAGCAAAAAAATGCAAGATATAGCAATTTGTTTTTACTCTGGAGGCAATGTCCTGGCACATCTTGGACCCCTAAAATCCTTTACTGAAGTGCCAAGTTCCTGAATTTTCATAAGGTCTATCTCCCAACCTCCAAAGAATGTGTCATATCGAAGATTCCAGCATGCCTCTTGTTCATCCTGCCAGATCAGCATGATGTCATCAATTGGACAGATGGATATGATATAACCATCATATGTTCTGTAGGTTACATAGTTTAGATCTGGTTAAACTATATTATAACATACGGTTATAGTAGGTGTCTTAACACCTTAATTTGTTAATTCCTTCATCTTTGTCATTTATTATCTGTTTCTATTGACTGATTTTTCTCCTGGTTATTGTACATAGTCTCTTGTTTGGGGGCCTGTGTAATCATTTTTCTATTAGATCCAGGACACTGTGAATTTCACATTACTGAGTATTTAGATTTTGTAGTCTTCCCTTAAAGAGTGGTGATCTTGTTTTGGCAGGCAAGTTATTGTTCTTGCAGATCATCTCGATATTTTGAGACTTGTATTTAAGACTTTGTTATCATAGGTGTACAGTACTTTTCACTTAGGATGGTTTAGCTCTACTACTAATGTATAACCTTTCTGGGTTCTCAACTGAATGCGCCTTGTGATTAAGGAAGACTTTCTCTACTGGATGGTTTTCAAACATCACCTCCTTTGAGAATTACTATTTCTTAGTCAATCACTGTCTTACCTCATGGTGCCTTCATCCTATGCACACACACCCTGGTGTTCAACAAAGTCTCAGAAGGATATCTATGCAGATTTATGGAACTTCTCATCTACACAGCTACCTCCTCTTTCAAACTTTGCCACACAACTTCCAGCTGCCTCAGCCTCACTAAACTTAATCTCTGTTCCCTCAACTCAACCTGGTTCTACATGGGATCCTTCTTCTGACTCGCTGGTTCAGAATGTGCCACCAGGTAGAAAACTAGGGCAACACTTCTTTTGCCTAAGACTTAGAGTTAAATATATGACATTTTGAAGTACTTTCACAATTATTTTTACCTTATGGTATAGTGTTTTCACACGTTTTGAAAGACTTGTTTGTGTGGGATGATCCAGCTTGGAGAAAATACACCTTGTTGGAGCCAGGAGGTTCAGTATATTGTTCTGAGTTGGGAATGACAGAGGCTTGACAGCTCATCTTGCCAGGGGTGTTTGTTTTCATGGACTTCAGCAGAGGGGCATGGCTGAGCTGCTCAAGAGTCACCACAGCAATGTTTGGAGCCCTAGTTTCATGGAACTTTCCCCCTAAAGAGTACTTAATGTGCTTGTGTGACCATGATGTTTCAGGGGTTTTGTTTTTGTTCAAAGTACACATCCTCCAACATCTTCTAAGAGGGCTTTCAAAAATGCACCAAGAAATAGCATGGTAAATAGTCGAAGATTCACTGAGGAATATTAGGCCATCAGGATACCCAAATTGTTGGTTTGGTTTAAACCACTATTAACAGATGGGGAATAGAGAGATGACTTGGAATCCAGCTCCAAATTTAAGAGCTGAGTCGCAAAAAAAAAGTAAAACCGATTAAATATAAGGGTCCTCAATTAGTGTTCGTTGGCTTTGGGGATTAAACAAGGTAAACTGACTTTGCCCACCAGCTGATCTTACTAACTGGTAAGTATAGTCCTTTCTCTTAATTGCTGTTGGCTGATTCCCTCCTCCTTTTCTTCTTATCTTGGCTCAGTTTTAATTTTTGCACCACGGGCTCAGAAATACTTCCACCAGAAGTTAACCGGAGCACGAGCTTGAAGAAAGCCAAGATCCTGCGTTGGGCGGTATTCTTCACCAGCTCCGCCCACTTCCGGGTTCCCCTCCCCCCGGCTCCCGCAGGCCCTCCCTTTCGCCCAGCAGCCCCACCCCGCCTGGGCAGCCCGCGTGACCACACAGCGTGCTCCGCCCCCGCCGGGTTCACGTGATTGCGCCTGGGGAGAAAACGCCTGACTCCGGCTCCTGGCCTTCACGGTACAACCTTCTTCTCCTGCGGCTTCTCGCCCTTCAGCCACCTGCGCGTCCCAACACACGGTCCCGGGGGCCTCCCGCCCGGAGCCCTGTCCGCCATGCGGCTTCTGCCTCTGGCCCCAGGTGGGCCCCGGCGTCACCAGCTCTCCTGCAGCCTAACACCGCTACTGCTTCTGCTGGGCTGCTGCCTGGGGGTCTCCCGGGTGGCGGCGGGCTCTCGGAGGCCCAACGTGGTGCTGCTCCTCACCGACGACCAGGACGAAGTGCTCGGCGGCATGGTAACTCCTGTCTCTGTTTCTGCTCCGCCCCTCTATCTTTGGGGCTGACTCCCTGGTTTCTTGCCCTCTTTTCCTGTCCTCACCCTGCGCTCGTGAACTGGCTGCCTTGACTCGCTCGTGAACTGGCTGCCTTGACTCGTGTAGGTTTGCTTTTGCCACGCCAGGCCCTTTACGCAGGTCTGAGGAGTCTCAGGACTCATTTCCTCTTCCCGCTCCAGCACCTCTTCTACATTGACACATACACGCGGTACACAGAGCTTCTGGTCTGGACCTCACTGCTGCGGAGTTGGCGGTACTAGCTCCACAGACACAGGTGGACGCTGGTTAGGGATGGGCTGAACCGATGAGCGACAGGTGTTGGCTAAGAATATGCAAGTCTTGATTATCTTTTGGATTAGAGGACAAGTCCAGCTCCCTTTGTGAGGGCCTAGGCCACCTCTGCCTTTGCCCCTGGGTACAGTGTCTGTACTTGATATTTATAAAATAAGTGCTGAAGTGAACTACTCTGGTAGGTAGGTTGTCGAACTATTCAGGGTGTGCTCTGCGGCACATGAATCAAGAAAATCCAATTAGCCTAATTGAACACCTGGCTGATGCACTGAATACTAATAGTCTGTTTTATATCAAGTGAGTGTTGTCGGGGGACTTCATTTTTTTCCCCAAATTTTGCTTCTTTATCTTAGATTATGACCCTCAGGAGTATCCACCCAAACCTCTACTCAAGCCCCAAAAGTAGCTTGCCTTTATTGCCTAATAACACAGTGCTTTATTGTGTTCTTCCTTTCAGTTCTCATTGCTTTCAGCAAAATGCTGAGATTATGAAAACAAGTCAGACAAGAGGTTCCTAACTTTTACTGTGTGGTAACACCCTAGCTCAGTGTCCTTCATCCTGCTGATTTCAGCCCATAAGTGAGTTGTGAAATCAGTTTAGTGAGTAACTACCAGCATTTTCACTTTTCTATGGAATAGTGTAGAATAGAAAATATCTGAGGTACAGGCAGTTAAAGTAAGCTTATCCATATTTTTTTGCATTGTAAATTAAAATATTTCTTACTCAGAGCTGTGTTCAAAAGTATGAGAATCTTTTCTAGCTGACGTTTAAGATGCTTGCGTTTTGACTCCACACTTCCTGCCACTTATGCCTCATTGCCTTTTAATTTCTACTCAGCCGCATTGACATTGAAGAGTCTGGACTTAATTGCCCTCCTGGATTTTACTTTGTTTTTTTTTTTCCATCATTCCAACAGCTATGCTTACCCTCCTCACAAAACTCCTTGTTTTTCTAAAAAAGAAAATACGTTTTGTGTTCTTGAGAAGTATTTTATCCAGAAAAAGCAAGCCACCTCTATAAAAAATTAATAGTTTAGTGATTAAAGCATAATTAAAAGCTAAAGCTTTCACATGTCTATTGAAAACAGAATTCATTGCTTAAATATAAGATGTGTTCAGAATTTAATATTTTAGACCACAGATGTGGTCTGTGTATACGTATTTGAGGTTTCTTCCCCTTAACGTGTTAATCCCCTTTGCTTCTTTAAACCATAGCAGATTCTTTTTTATAGGTGTCAGTTAATACTAGAGAGAAGAGCCAAAATTGAATGGAGGGAACAAGTTGAATTTAGTGCTCCAACTCAGGAGAATTGTGGCTTCTCTTATAGGCTTTTCCAGAATATTTTATGACTAGTTGTCAAATAGGACTTAAAGGGGAAGACCTAAGACAATAACAGCATTTGAGAGTCTGCTTGGAGCCAGAGTGTGAAGTGTTTTGTACTCGTGCTTCAGTCATGGCAGGTGTCCTCTGCTGTGGGTATTGTCCTTACCTTAAATAAGAGGAAACTAAAATTTCGAGGGAGTTGAGGAACTTGGCCAGGGTTCATATAGGGAAGGAGAGACCAAGCCTCGTGTCTTATGATCTCAGAGCCCCATGCCTTTTCTCCTGTTCGAAAACACAGTGATAATACTGACTGACAGATGTCATTCCACATACCCACATCAGCATAGTTACTTATACCATAGATCAGAGGTTCTTCAGGTGATATTTAGGAGCACCAGTGGGTCATGGAACTTCTTAATACTTTGTAATACTTTGTGTATATACTTTGAAGACTTTACATCTTCATTTTTGTGGGGGAAGAGAGGTCTCTGACCCCCCAAAAGATTGTGAATTGCCACCATAGTTAGCAAAATAGATAGTAGTCAATCCCCCAGATTAAATCAGGGCAAAGGATTATAATACTTGTGTGATTGTGGTTTAACATGGAATCTTTCATCTTTGAAATAGTCTGTTGTTGTTTTTTTTAACAATTTTCTTTATTTTTAGAGGGGAAGGGAGGGAGAAAAAGAGGGAGAGAAACATTAGTGTGTGAGAGAAACATGATTGGTTGCCTCTCACATGCCCTCAACCAGGGACCTGGCCCACAACCCAGACATGTGCCCTGACTGGGAATCAAACCAGCGACCTTTTGGTTTGCAGGTGGGCACTCAAACCACTGAGCCACACTAGCCAGGGCTGAAGTAGTCTTTTATGTGGTAGCATTGTCTTTAACATTTCATTGTATTTGTTGCAGGTATCATCTGTGAGACTTTGCTTTTAGCCCCCCACCCCCTCCAGGGATCTGTTCCTTTCTATTTATTTCTTGATTTCATTTGAATGTGATTTACAGTGTGATGGCCATACTGTTCTTCACAGGTTGCTCTTTTTAAAATTATTCACTCTAGAAAAAGTGACACTTGGTCACTTTTTCAAAATTTCAAGGATGTGAAGGAAGGAGCTATAATGAAATGTAGGGGAAGACTAAACACTTCGTGCCTTTGCTTCACTTAAAACAAAGTGGTTTTCCATTGAAAAAGGAAAAGTTAGCTATAGAATTATCAAAATTGTCAAAACTTTATTTCCAAGCCCTGGTGTACATGGTAGTTAGGAAAATAAATGACTCCTCCTCAGGGTTTTTATGGAAAGGATTTTGCTTTGTAAGTACAAGATTGGCTCTTCGTAGAGAACGTTGTATGGCCTTAACCTCACCAGCCACCAGCTTTGCTTAGATCTTAAGGATCGATGTTAGTTATCATGGACACACATACATATCTTCAGTGCAGTGTGGGCTCTTCATCGGGGCTTGTTGGACCAAGCACGGATTTTATGCTTATCATTTGTACTACTATTTGTAGTCTAATGATTACGATTATTAAAATAAATCTCTTGCACTACACTCTCAATTCCTGTGCAGCCCTGCATCATCCTCTGGCTTCTGCCTAACTCTCTGACCTTGTTTTATCCTATTTCCCACTTCAGTGACTGCACTGCTTCGGACACGCTGGCTGCCTTTCGGTCCCTCACATGTGCCTCTTTCCTTGTCTGGCAGCCTTTCTACTTGCTCTGCACTGCTGTAAGCGTCTTATCCTGGATCTTTGCGTGGCTGACTCCTTATCATGGGACTCTCAGCACTGGTTAGCTCCTGAAAGAGGCCATTCTTGACCTACCATCTGAAGTATTTTCCACCTTTCCTCCCACCAGCTGTAAGCACATCATCCTGGTTTATCCCCTTCATAGCACTTTTTCACTGCCCAAAATGATTGTTTATTTATCCGTTAGTTGTTTAAGTCCCCAAGAGTACAAAGATCATCAGAGCAGGGACCTTCTATCTTTTGTCCACCATTGCCAAGACCAGTGCCTGGCACAAATTAAGTGTTTAACAAATATTTCATAATCATACAGTATAGTCTCCCTATAAATCAGATATTCCTCAGTAACTGCATATTTACCAGACAATTAGATGAGTAAGTCCCATATAATCAACTCACATGTTCCTTTTCCTCACTTATACTTGGCATTCTCGTTTCTCTTCCCTATGTCCTCACTACAGCTCAGATTCTTCATCCATCTAATGTTTTATTCAGCCAAGTGTTCTGTACCTGAGGGTAGCACCCAGTGATGTGTTATGGGAGATTATGGCTAGTGACATTGCTTCTGAAGGTTACCACAGACCTTATATATCTTTAGCGTTTCCTGGGGACCTGTTATACACCTACTCATGAAATTATCAAAGCTCCTCTTGAATAAGTTAAGCCTTCTCATCCTTTTGAGGTTATGGTTTCCTTAGGTTTTCTACTATGTAAAACAATGGGGAAAGTCATTTACACAATGTTGAAAATGAGGGTCTTGTTAACACAGTGACATATTTGGATTATCTTTAAGGAATTATTAAACCGCAAAATACACTTAAAGCTGCATTCAATTTGGGCTTACTGACTCTCATAATACAACTAAAATGAGCCTTTTTGATGTTTTTTGTTGCTGAATAAAGGTTATTCAAATTTATGTTCCTTTTTACTTATACTTGAATGACCAGCTCCATATTTTTCCCCTCACTCTAGGATTTGATATTATTCTCTGTACTTGTCAGGGTCTAAGATTTTTTTTTTAATTTAATTACAGTTGTCCCAATTTCCCCCCATTCAGGGTCTGAGATTTTAGACAAAAGATTAAAAAGCAAGGATATAAACAAAGTAATTTCTGACTAGTCGTTTGCTTGACAGGGTTCTGTGTATGCCTGTTCACCACCTGGTTCAAGTCCTTACCAGAGGTGGTGATTTGTCTCATGCAGAGGACCATGAGTTTATAGTCGAAAGTCTGCATCTGGGCTTGGCTCCACCAACTGAATATCTGGCATTTGAGTTAGTCTCTGAGCTGCAGGGCCTCTCTGGCTTTCAGAACCTAAGTGTTATAACTATTTTAAAAGGTAGAAGGCACCTGTTATATGATTTCCCACATCCTGCTTCTAAAGATGAGTTAATGGAGATAAGGGCCCAGTCTCATAAGGGGGCTGGTGACAAATGAGACAAGGGCATACAATTCCATTACATTCACATCAGCCTTGCTAAAATAAAGCCATTGGCTGTGAACTTGCCCTTCCTGCAAGCATTATGAAACGCCGAACCTTTGCGTGAGAAAGAGCTGACTAAGCCCGTTTGTTTCATTCCAGAATCCCTGTCTTGGCTGTTTCTTAGTGTGAGCTGGAGCTGATTGGTTGGGAATGAGAGGTTGAGTTAAGATGCAAAACCCCACGAATTTTGGATTGTGTTTTGTAGTTTTTGGAACAGTTTAACAGATAATTATTTACCTTACAGACACCACTAAAGAAAACCAAGGCTCTCATTGGAGAGATGGGGATGACTTTCTCCAGTGCTGTAAGTTTTGAAGCTCATTTAATTTTGTTAGACTTTAATTGCATGTATGTTCTGAGAAGAATCAATTTCTTTTGGGTAGTCTCTGGGGTTTTTTTCCTCGTTAAATGCCTGCTGTGAAGGAAGGACTTTATATAATGTGATATAAAGTCAGTTAATTGAAATACTATATATCACCAATTGAAGATCAGCTGCAGGTATTTTCTAAGCCAGTCTGATCTGCAGCTCAGAGAATTTTATTTCAGACCTGACTGTTGGAGGTGTGAAGATGGAGTGTAAGAAACAGATAACATACATGGTGTGTAAGCATTCTGTGGTGACAGCCTGCAGGCCGCTTGACAAAGCCCAGTTAACCCTCATAGCCAACCCTGAGAAAGGTCATAGCAGCAAAACCAAACCAGCAGTAACTGTGTGTGTGTGTGTAAAAAACATAAATATGTGTATTTGAACATAGATCCAAAGACTCAAAATACTAACAAGCTAAAGAACCATGTACACACACAAGGGAGTGGTGTCCTAGCTTAATATCGAGAAATCCATTGAGCAGTAGCACAGTGCTGTGCTTCAGAGCCCTGACTCTGGAGCCAGATTGCCTGGTTTTAAATGCTCTCTGCTCTTTCCTAGTTGTGTGACCTTGGGCAAGTTATTAACTTTTCTGGCCCTTGTTTTCCACATTTGTAAATGGGGGTACTAAAACGTATCTCAGGGTTTTTGTGAGGTTGAATGAATTGATACATGTAAAATAAGCACTTCTGTTGGTGCCTGACTTACAGTAAGTAGAATTATCCCTTGATACCCGTTGAGGGATTGGTTCCAGGGCCACCCCACCACCCTCGCCCCTCAGATACCAAATCCATGGATGCTCAGGTCCTTTAAATGAAATGGTAGAGTAATTTGCATGTAACCTGTGCACATATTCCTGTATACTTTAAGTCATCTCTAGATTGCTTTTAATACTTAATATAGTGTTAAAATAATATAGTGCTATGTAAATCGTAGTTACACAGTATTGTTTAGGGAATAATAACAAGAAAAAGGTCTGCACATGTTCAGTATGGATACAGCCACATCATAGATCTGACTACACAGGTTACATCAGCAACAACTTAATTTTTCTTTTCCAAATATTTTCAGTTCGCAGTTGGTCGAATCTGTGGCAGAGCCCACAGATACAGAGGGCTGACTGTATGACCTGGTGGTGGTTATATTGTCCACCAACATGGAATGGGTAGTTGAAAGAAGGCCAATTATATGTTTATTTCAATAGATGCTTGCAAATCCTCTGAAATTTTAGCATCCTTTCCTGGTAATTTATTAAACTTTTGGAAGAATACATCCTTATGATGAATACTTCAAACAAATAGCACACCTATGGTTAAGGTGACAGACTTGGTCATTGCTGTTAGGGATGAGACAAAGACATACTACCTCTCACTTAACATTATTCTGAACTGTCTAGTCACTGGCGTAAGTCTTTTGGAATTAAGAAGTAAAAATACTGGGAAAAGACAAAATTATTATTTCCACTTGTTTGGATTTTCTACCTAGAAAGCAGGAGAATTGTTAGAAAACTTTTTAATAGAATTTAGTAAGATAGAAATGAAAAAATTCTTTAAAAAACTTTCTTCCCATAACTACTTAGAGAAATACTTGGCAGGAAGAGGGAAATCCCATTTTATAGCAGGAAATAAATACTCTAGGAATAGGTGGTGGTGGCCAGTATGGTTGTTTAAAACCTTTATAAAGTTACAGAACTTTATATATAATAAAAATTCTTATTATGAAGACATGTACATTACTTTCTATAGGAAGACACAAGATTATAAAATGTTTATTCTAATCAGAATCCCAATGAGATTTTTTTATGCTGCATTAAGTGATTCCAAAGTTATCTGGAATAATAAGTAGGTTAGAACAATTAGGGTGATTTTTTTTTTAGAGGAAGAAATTGCTCTGCAGGATACTAAAATGTACATGAAGATACAGCAAGTAGTGTGGCATTGGCCAAAAAATAGGTCAGGAAACAAAAAAGAGAAAGAATTAAAAGAGTTGCCAATGTAAAAATAACAAAAGTCAAACATCTAACAAAATTAAAAGGCAAACACAAAAAATGGGAAGTATTGCAACATGATTGAATCCCTCCTTAACTCAAATTTTATGTAACAAGGCCAACAATCACCCAGAATGAAAAAAATGTGCAAAGCACATGAACACATATTCACATAAACACAATTGGTCAGTGTACATATGGAGAATGGTCATCCTCACCAGTGTTTTAAAGTGTCAAATCCAATATGAAAAGCCAAATACATACTAAGTATTTACAAGGGATGATATGCAGAGGTGTGCTCAAACAAGCCTTCCCTGCTGGTGTGCAAGTACAAGCTAGTGTTGTATTACCCTTCTAAAAAATGCCTTGGTGATATGGATTAAAAGTTACACAAATATTATTGGGTAGAAAGGGGTAAGTCTATGGGTGACAATAGGTAATAGAAACATAAGTAGAAAAAAAATCTGTGTTCTATGTATAAAGTGATACAGGAATTATATAAAGCTACAGATCAGCCTGAAAATGAGGCTCTACTTCTCAGCTTAATTAGATTCAAGTAGTATTCTTTATCTTTGGTTTAAGACCTAGCTCCCACCACATGCTGTGCTCCTTGCATGTAAGTAATTCTTTGAGGTGAGGTTAGAATAACATGTTACCCTGTAGAAAGAAACCAGCTGAAAGCAAATCTCTGCTCTTGGTTTGTTTAATCTGCTTTACTGTCTCCACTGTGTTACTTAAAGCAGCTCGAAAGTGTGTCATGCATAAAGAAAATATTCCGTGGGAAACTAGAAATTTGAAGTTAGAGTACTATTGAGCAGCTTTCTTTACTCTCTTTAGAAATGATGAGAAATCCATCATTCTTGTGTAACTTTGTGTCTTTTGCTTCTGTCTCCTTTATAGTATGTGCCAAGTGCTCTTTGCTGCCCAAGCCGTGCCAGTATCCTGACAGGGAAGTATCCACATAATCATCACGTTGTTAACAACACTTTGGAGGGAAACTGCAGTAGTAAGTCTTGGCAGAAGATCCAAGAACCGAATACTTTCCCAGCAATTCTCAGATCAATGTGTGGTTATCAAACCTTTTTTGCAGGGAAATACTTAAATGAGGTATGTTGAATGATCTCATTATTCCTTTAAAAAAAAACAGCTTTTTAAATGTGAATTAATATAATTCACATTAATTGCTTTTTGATAAGTATCCATTCAAGTTGCATTAAGGCATTTTTGGTATGTGTTTTATCCTAACCCGTAAATAGGAATGTACATGAACATATTTACATCATGTGTATTGAGGGTTTTTTTTTTTTCTCTTAGATAGTCTCAGAAGCATTTGTTGAAAAGTCACCCCAGGACTACTGCTCTGTGAGGCGTCTTCCCTTTTTAACTCACTTCTCCTCATCATGTGGATGTCATGTTCTCTTCGTTTCCAATTCCCCTTTCCTGGGGTCACAATGAAGAATATTTTCCTCTTAGTATCTTTCCTGAATTACAACACCTTTTGCTTAATCTGTTTCCTAACCTGAAAAGTGGGAACAAAATGTGGACAGATCAGTGGTAAAGAGAAAGCACCTGGAGCCGGGGATAGTCAGGCCACTGGCAGGTGGCTGAGTGGTGCATGTGCTGGGCCTCTGGGGCCCTTGTGGGGAGATGTCTCATCATGACCTGCCAAGGCGACGTTTCCTGGCCTCACACCCACCACATTGGCCTTAGCTTTTAGTCAGAGGTTGAGCTTTCAGGAAATAGTATATTTGAGAGTGTTTGGGGTTATCTCTTACAATAAAATTGGGCGTTCAGGACAAAGAGGAAAAGTACATTTTCTTACCTATTTTCTCTGTGTTTGCTAGAGATCTTAATATCTGAAAGTTTCTTTTACTTAATATCTGAAGTTTCTTTTACTTCTCCCTCTTCCCACAATAATTAGGGGAATTTTCAGCTGTGTGGGTTTGAAGGAAGATGACTCAATTTGAAAAGAATCATGAGAAATTAGTACTAGTACTAGGTTCTTAGGTTAAGGCTGTGAATCATGAAGAGAACTTACACTACTTTGCATATTAAAGATCATCTAATGTGTGTATAAAATTAGGAGAAATTCTTTAAATTGGCAAAGATTTAGTTCTGAGGGATTAAATTCTGCCTTAAATGGGCAGTATTAAACTTCGTTGAAATAGAATGGGATGATTCTGTGGTCTCTTCACTGACTCGTCTCATCAGAAAAATTGAGCTCCAAAAGTAGATTTCATCAGCAGGACAACTGAAATTATAGGCTAGTAGCTCATCATTACATTATTTCTCCTGTTGTTAGTCCGACAGGGGACTAGTCTGACCCTGACAGGGTCAGTCGGACTATTCAGTCTAAGCCACAGGGGGCAAACACAAGGCCTGTGGGCGGAATCTGGCCCTCCACCTTGTTTTATCCGCCCGGCACCTTGTTTCTGCCCAGCGACAGCACTGAGCTCTCACTTAACTGTTCGGGAGTAGTTATATTTAGACAGTCCTAAAATCACATTCGGTCCTTTGAAGGCAACTGCAAGGCTGGTGTGGCCCCCAGTTTGACACCCCTGCCTAGGCCACCAGTAGCTCAGCCAATGAGCCCTGTGGCCTCAGCCATGCGGTTTTTTCTGTGAAGGGCCAGAGGTGAATAGTTGAGGCTTCGTAAGCCGTATGTCTCTGTTGTGAGTGTTCACCTCTACCATTGTAGCATGAGAGCAGCCCTAGACGTTACGCAAACTAGTGAGTGTGGCTGTGTTCCAGTAAAGCTTTATCATCCCTGAAATTTCAATTTCATGTAGCTGTCACATGTCACAAAATATTCTTTTGATTGGTCTTTATATTTTTTTAATTGTTGGGGGGAAAATTCTTAGCCTGGTGGCCATATGAAATAGTTGGTAGGCTAGATTTGGCCCATAGTTTGCCAACTCCTGCTTCAGAAGCTACTAGGATTATAGCATTTTTAATTTTTTGCTGATTTATGTGTTTGGAAGAAGCTAGCACCTGCCACGTTTAAGGGACTGATCTGCAAGATTCTACAAGTTGACGGTTTCTTTGTGGCCTCGTCATGTCTAAGGACTTCTGATGCCCTGCTTGTCTTGCTTTTCAGTACGGAGCCCCGGATGCCGGTGGGTTGGAGCACGTTCCCCTGGGATGGAGTTACTGGTATGCCTTGGTGAGTGATTGTAGAACTCAGTGACACTTACACATAGCCCCACAGGTGCAAAATATGTTTACGTTATGATTAGGCTCTGATATCGACTAACTTGGTTTACTTTTATGATCGACTGTTTTTATCTCCTTGAAGGAAATTCTTTTGATTTGTGAGTAATTCCTTTGTGGGGGTTTAGCAACATATTTTGCTGTTCTACCTGATCCACTCCTATTGTTTTTTTGTTTGTTTAAGTAGGACGTGTTATTGAAACTATGCTAGGAGTTCATTAAAACCGTAGTCAAAAAATCCAATTCAATGTAACTTGAGTAATTACCTTTTTTTATGTCTTATCACTATTTAAACAGAGTATAGGTTAGCCTAGCATGGTTTTCGACTTTCATTTTGTTTGCTGATGTCGTAATAAATTTTATTTTCCTCTCTGTAATAGGAAAAGAATTCTAAATACTATAATTATACCCTCTCTATCAATGGGAAGGCTCGAAAGCATGGTGAAAACTATAGTATGGACTACCTGACAGATGTTTTGGTGAGTTACTGACACTATCCTTGCAGGTTTGGCTCACATTTGATTAAAGACTTTGCTGAGAAAACTTTTAGTTGTATTTGTTCGTGCTGGGTAACGTGAATGAATAACAACTCAATCTAACTGTCAAAGACTATTTCCAACTGATTAAAAACTCCTGAGAGTGTTTTTGTATATAAGCCACGCTCAGATAATGTGCTTGAAATTCCAGCAGCAAATCCCTTTTTCAAAGGCCATCTCTGAGACTACAGAGACCACTTGAAGAGGTTTTGCTTTGTAAGGTTCCTACTCTTGACCCCAGTTTTTCTCACAAGCTACAAGATGACAGCTTCATCATGGGGGGGGCGCTGACCAGGGTATGGAGTTCTTCAGTATTGTGTATTTATATATAAAAAATGCCAGAATGGGATGAATTTGGGACTTCCCTGTCTATGGTGTTTCTCATGACAGCCCTCCCTGGAGCATTCCCTCACCAAATGTTTCAGCACTCACTATAGTGGGTGCTCGACCCTAAATGGGGCACAGGCCTTGATTCTGTGAAAGGTAACTTTTTAGTGGCAGATTTTTTTATGCGTGTGTGTGTGTGTGTGTGTTTACACCTTCACTTACTACCTTGTTAGATGATAATCAGTTAGAGAACTGAAGCCAGGTGTGGGGGAATCACTTAGATAACATTTAAGCACAACCCTGAAGAGGGTGAGAGTGAGCCGTCCAGGTCAGGGGAGAGGCCGCAGACAGGAGGGGTGCAGAGTTGGGGCCCCTGGGCAGAGTGTGCCAGGCATGTTGCGGTGCCATGGGCCTCCCAAAAGCCAAAGGAAATGGGTGGGCAGGGTGGTGACAGCACACTGATGCAGTCAGTTCCCTTGGAGTTTAATGTTGGGAATAAATGAAGATATAAATCAACTAGAACAATTAAATACATAATATGTATGTGGGATGCTTTCATTTTCATATTTCATCTCCAAATAAGCCAATAGCAAGTGTAAATCCGTATCAATTAAAGACCTGTTGTGATTTATTTGGACATAACTTATGATATCTGCTCTCTACATATTTTTGTGAGATTAAGGTAATTTAATCCACCTTTCCCACTATTGTGAATTAGATTGACTCTATTTTTATATTCTTTTTTTTTAAAGATTTTATTATTTTTATATTCTTTAAGGCATCAAGATGTATACACTCTGAATTGCATTAATGTAAGTTAATAGTAAAATGGCCAAATTACTATTTCTTTCCAGTGGGAGGCCTAACAGTTTTTTGATCCTGTAAAATCATCAACATCTTAATTACCTCTTACACCAGTGTGCTTTCCAGTTTTTTATTTTAACTATTGCCCAAAAGCCGAATACTTATTCCAACAGCATGCTTGTCATTTGACTATGACGTAGATTGTGTGCTGAGATTTGTTCAAAGCCAGTGTGACCCTGTCCCTTCTGTTCATCAGAGAACATGTATCTATCAAGTCCGCAACTGTTGGGTACCTAGGAGATGACACATCTTTGTATATGTCAGGCTAATGTCTCCTTGGACTTCCTGGACTACAAGTCCAACTCTGAACCGTTCTTCATGATGATCTCCACTCCAGCGCCTCACTCGCCTTGGACAGCCGCACCTCAGTACCAGCAGACCTTCCAGAACGTCTTTGCACCAAGGAACAAGAACTTCAACATCCATGGAACGGTAGCTTCTCTAACCCTTGGATTTAGCTATACTCAGTATAGTTAAATGTATAATATACTTGTCACAGAGCCTTTGAGCTATGTAGTGGGTTTTCTTTCCATAACTTTTAAAGGTAATTACACCTATCTCTAGTAGGATAGATAGTATAAACTGGCTGTAGGAATACAGATAAGGTTCTTGCCACTCATCCAGTGAACAGGTAGAGAATCCAGAGGGAATATTAAAGAGATGGCATCTTTCTTGACTACAGGCTGTCCTGATGAAAACTTCTTCCTGACAGTGGCTGAGACATGTTGTTTGGGGCTGGGCCGGGCCTTTGGCAACCTCCTCTGGGTAGGCTTCACCAGGCCTGAGGCACAGGAAGAAGAGGAGTGATGCAGTGTAATATGATTGGGAAGGGAAGTTAAGCAAAGAGCCAGAGCAGGGAGTATACCATAATTAAGGGCCACAACCTAAATATTTATGTTAGTCACTTATCTGTCCCCTGGCACAGGGGATTGGCAGTTCACTGGTTCAAATGCAGAAGGCCTCCAGTCTGTTATCCAGAAATCTTCATTGCTTGTGAGGTGGTGGAAAGAATGACTCTTGGGGTTGACTGAGCGTTCCCACCTTCCAGCTTAGTGACCCGACAGTGAGCAAGATGGTAACATCCAGTTTTCATGCAGCTACTGTATGGATTAAAGTACATAGGAACATGTAGTGTGTTGCCTGGAATGTTGTAAGCATGTTAAGTATGATTTTAAAACTGAGTGAGCTGAGTTTTAAACTAGAGGGCCATTGTCAAACTGTGTTCCAAAAAAAAAAAAATTGATAGGAGTTCCCCTGATCAAGTAAGTGCAGAAACTTTAGGTTAAACAAGCCACTCTGCTGACAGGATTTCTCAGTTATTCATGTTCTCAATGTGAATATCCAACAGGACAACGTGCTGTATAGCATTTCTCCAACACTAACTGAAGACCACTTTGAGGACCAGAGTTTGGAAGATAGCAGCTTAGGGTTTTAAGAACAAGGAGGAAGAAGATAGTTAATGGCAGATGGGAATGTTTTTGTTTTTTTTTAAATTGTAATTTTTTTATTTAAATGAAAAGAACCCTCCAGATTTGGACGTGACGTTTAGGAAATTGCTATGACGGGGTTTTCCCAACAGTTTAAGATGATTGATATCTTGGGTAAGAAAATGGAGAATAATGAAATGTTGACTTATTAGGCAAAGCTTGAAAGAAGGTAAACTTAATGTTTACCCTTTTCTAGGTTGGGTAGTAGACCCAAAGCATAGACTCAGAGTTATAAGTTTAAACTCCTTTTAGCCAGTAGTTCCCCAATATCTTTGTCTACATCTCTCATTAATGCTACTGACAAAGGAGCTCAGTGCCATTCAGAAAGTGGTAGGAAGAATGTAAACAATGCATGATAGTCTACGGGAAGTTTTTTTTAAGAACACAGGGGAGAGAAATGGAGAGGGGGGTAAGTCTGAAGTTGCTTAAATAGATTCCAGTTCCTCTTTACTGAAGTATAAAATGATCCCTTCTATTATTTACTAAAGCAGTTTATTTGGACGACTTGGTGTTAACATTTTTTTTCTTTTAATTTTAGAACAAACACTGGTTAATTAGGCAAGCCAAGACCCCAATGACTAATTCTTCAATACAGTTCTTAGATAATGCATTTAGAAAAAGGTAAGAGCTGCTACTTCCTCAAACTAGGTGGTCTTTGCAGACCCTACAGATCAGCCTGTGAACAGGGAACTGTACCACATAGTTATCATTGAGGCAAAATCAGAGGGAAACAAGTTGATGGGAGAGATTTTTTTTTTGAGGGGGTCGGGTGGCGGTCTCTTGCCTTAGAAACAGCCAAAGATTCCTTTACATTTGGGTGTTAGATGACTTTTGGATCCCAGGACCGATTAATCCATTTTTATGACTTGTTAAAACATTGCAAACTGAAGCCATTGGATTTTTTTTCTTTTTTTCTTTTATTTTATTTTAACTGTTCAAGTACAGTTTTCTGCCCTTTACCCCCATCCCAGCCCACTTCCCCAGTCCTCCCCAACTCCCTCCCGTCTCCACCCCTGGATTTTTTTTTTTTTTTAAAGTTTCCTATATCTAAAGAAAAGGTCAGTTTGTTAGAGATCAATCACCCAATATTTGCATAAGATCCAAAGGCTTAGACTAGAGCAAAATATTTACCTTTGTTGTCTGGAATTCTCAGGAAATTCTTTTAAGTCAATTTTTTTTAAAATCCATTATTTAAAGTGTATATAGTTTAGGAAGGGGTTGGCAAATTTTTTCTGTAAAGGGCCAGATAGTAAATATTACAGGCTTGCAGACCACATGGTCTCCATCGCAGCTGCTCAGCTCTGCTGTTGAAGTACAAAAGCAGCCATAGACAGTGTGTGAGTGCGTGAGCATGGTTGTGTTCCAATAAAACTTTATGTGTGTATAAGAAGAGACAGTTGTTCAGTGGGTCGTTTCAGATTTGTAAGCTGAAAAAAGTTCTGGAAATCTGTTTCACTATATGAATATACTTAATATTACTGACTTGTACACTTAAAAATTTTTAAGATGGTAAATTTTATGTTATTTGTGTTTTACTACAATATAAAACAAACAAAAAACAAAGAGTGGCAAGCTTTGGCCGGTTGCTGTAGTTTGCCAACCCCTAGTTTAAATCATAACCACTGTTATGGCACAGTTCTGTTTGAATTACTCTGTAATAATCAGTGCTGAATTGACAGCTTGCCCTTCTAGTCATCTCTACTCTCATCACCAGTGATAATAAATAATAAAGCTAACTGGTTATAAAAAGCCTCATTCAGCCCTGACTGGTGTGGCTCAGTGGATTGAGCGCCAGACTGCAAACCAAAGGGTCACCGGTTTGATTCCCAGTCAGGGCACATGCCAGGGTTTCAGGCCAGGTCCCCAGTAGGGGGCGTGTGAGGGATAACCACACATTGATATTTCTCTCCCTCTCTTTCTCCCTCCCTTCCGCTCTCTAAAAATAAATAAATCAGTACAATCTTTTTAAAAAATAGCTCATTCATTTGGGAACAGTTAAATTTGATCTGAGCTAAATGTTCTAAAATTAAATTTCTCCCATTTTGGGGGAGAATGGTTTTGAGGTTTTGCAGGTTACCCTGTCTCTGAAGTCCCATTGCCACCCTCTGTTCCCATCCAGGTGGCAAACTCTACTCTCAGTTGATGACCTTGTGGAGAAACTGGTCAAGAGATTGGAGTTCAATGGGGAGCTCAACAACACTTACATCTTTTATACCTCTGATAATGGCTATCACACAGGTAAGGGGCATGCTTAGGTGTCCTGTGACCTTGTGAGGTGCCTTTCCTTTTTCACCCAACCAATAGCACTGGCAGGGAGCTCTGGTCCTTTTATGGCAGTTTAGAAGCCAGAAGGAGGGTTTTGCCCTCAGGACCCCTCTGGTTAAAGGGCCATCTCATTCCCACGTGGAGGGACCACATTTCTTTATTTGCTGAGTCACATTTTAAATTACGTGGTATACTAGGGGTCAGGAGCAGAGTGAGCTTAGCTTGATGGTTTAGAGGCAGGATTTATGAAGGAGGTAAGAAATTGAACTAGATATTAAGGACAAATAGGTCTTGGAGAATAGGGGTGAGACATTTTACACAGAAAGATCAAGAGAAGGTTGTCTTGGGGGAAAGCTCTTTCTTAACAAAATTATGAAATTGGGGTGTGTGTGTTTTGTTTTGTTGTCTTTTTAAAACTGCAGTATAAGTCAGTGTCCTGTCTTTGAGTTTCATCCTTTCTACTTAGACCTCTGTAGTTAAAAAAAAAACCCAGTGTGTTCTTCTTTTCGCAACTATAAATTGTATAAACTTGAGTGGAATTGACCTGAAGCTTGCTTCCGTAGAGCAGGCTCATTGGGCATTTAATGTATTCTTGTGAATATTTTTAAGCACTTAAGTAGAGACTAATACAGTAACACCATTACCCAGTTTCAGTTTTCAGTTGCATGTGGCCAGTCTTTAGAATTCTTCCTACCTTCCCATGTTTTTCTTTTTTAGCTAGAAGGTTTTGAAGAGACTCCAGAAATTGTGATTCCACACTTGATTGTGCATCTGATTAGTTTATTATGTATCAGGATGTAGACAAAGTCCACATGCTACGTCTAGTTTTTATGTTTCACAAAGCTGTTGTTGCCACTGACTTACTTACTGGAAAAACTTTGTCCTTTAGAATATCTCATGTTTTGGCTTTGGCTAATTGCTGTTTCATGTTGGCTTTACTTGTTTATTTATACTCAGCTTTTCCTATAGATTGATAATCACATCTAGAGTCTTAAGAGAAATTCACATTTCAACAAGGATGCTTTTTTGGTGATCCTGCTGTGTACTTCATGTTGCATCATTTCCCGATGCCCATGGTGTCTGGTTGCCCCAATTTAGGGATGCTGGTATTGATTGATGGCCCATGTGGTTTCAATCTGAGCCTGTCTTGTGAACCTTTTGTGGCTAAAGCTTCCATTGACGCTTAAGTGTATTATTCCCTCAGATCAATCAATCAATACTGACTTCATGTCTCCGTCCTTTTGCATTTATTAGCTGGAAGAACTTTCCCTCGTCAACTGTTTGGTTTTCTTGAAATTCAGTTTATTCAGGAAAAGCAGGATAAATGTTTTTGTCCCTTTATTTAGCATTTTTTCAGAATAACCTCATTCAATTATGATCAGGTTGAATATCATACATAAATTATGTATCTCTGTTTCAGTACTTCCCTGTCATTCTCTTGGCTGAATTGTCCCATCATAGACCAGGGAGTCCCCCTAGGAATTTACTTAATTTGCCTTGCAGTAATGAGACCCAGTCAAATTTGTTTAAACACCATAATTAGTGGTACAAAGTCATTCTGGTTTTGCTGTTGATTAAATGAATGAAGATATGCGTGACACTTCATGTGGGCTCCATCTTCACCCTGTGCATTTTGTTTTCAGGACAGTTTTCTTTGCCAATAGACAAAAGGCAGCTGTACGAGTTCGATATCAAAGTTCCACTGTTGGTTCGAGGGCCTGGGATCAAACCGAATCAGACAAGCAAGGTAGGTGCCTGACAAGATGATGCTGTTCATAGGTAGCACCTGCATGAGAAATGAAGGCTGTCCCTCCTTAGAGGAGGCTGATTAGATTTCTCCTCCTGTGAGGATGAGGGCCGATTTGGCTTAAGATTGTAAGTGTGTGTATAAGCCTTGGAAACAGTGACACTTTTTTTTTAAATTCCTGACCATACCCTATTAATTGTATCCCCCCTCCAAATACAGACATATATAAAATATTAGCATGAATAACTTTTGCCTTTAATTTATTTACTATATAATATATATTAGTTTCAGGTATTCAGTAGTGACTGGACATTTATATACTTCATGAAGCGATCACCGTGAGATAAATCTAGTCCCCATCTGGCACCATACATATTTGGTTGTTTTTTTAATTCTTCATTATAATTTTTTCATTACCATTTAACTCCCTCATGCCCCCTCCTCCCTGCAGTGACCACACTGTTATCCATGAGTCCTTTTTCCTTTTTGCTCAATCCCTCCATCCCTACACCTCCCCCACCTTTAGCTGTCATCTGCTCTCTATCTGTGAGTTTGTCTCTGTTTTGCTTGTTAATTCAGTTTGTTCATTAGATTCCACATATATGTGAAATCAAACGGTATTTATCTTTCTCTGACTGGCTTATTTCACTTAGCATAATGTTATCCGTGTCCTTCCATACTGTCACAAAGGTAAAATTTTCTTCTTTTTCATGGCTGAGTAGCATTCTATTGTGTAAATGTTTTACCCACTCATCTACTGATGGACACTTGGGCTGCTTCCATATCTTGGTGACTGTGAATAATGATGCAGTGACTATAGGAGTGCTTATGTTCTTTCAAATTGGTGTTCTGGATTCCTTTGGATATATTCCCAGAAGTGAGATCACAGGATCAAAAGGCAGATCCATTTTTAATTTTTTGAGGTATCTCCATATTGTTTTCCACAGTGGTTGCACCACATACGTAGTTATTACAATATTATTGACTGTGTTGCCTATTCTGTACTTCATATACCTGTGACTAATTTTATAACTATAGCAGTTTCTATTCATAATACTTTTCCCCTCACCAGCCTCCCACCTGGATACATCGGTTTGTTCTCTGTATCTGAGTTTTTCTTTTGTCTTTACCTTTTTTTTTTTGGTTCATATATTTTGTATCTTAGATTCCACATACATGTAAAATCATGCAATATTTGTCTGATTTATTTTACTTATTTTAACATACTATCCTCTAGGTCCATCCATGTTGTTGCAAGTGACAATATTTCATTCATTTTTATGGGTAGTACCCCATTATACATGTGTACCACATATTCTTTATTATTTGTCAGTAGACACCTAGGTTGCTTTCATGTCTTGGCTATTTTAAGTAAGGTTGCAATGAACCCTAATTTCAAGCTGGTGTTTCAGTTTCTTTGAATAAATACCCAGAAGTGGGATTGCTGGGTCATAATGGTAGTTCTGTTTTTTCATTTTTTGAAGAATATCCATACTGTTTTCCATAGCGGCTGCACAAGTCTGCATTCCCACCAAGTGCATTAGGGTCCCTTTTTCTTTTTTAATTTGAGCTCCTTTAACTTCTTTCCTTTTTTAAAAAGAATATATTTCATTGACTATGCTATTACAGTTGTCCCATTTTTTCTCGCCTTAATATTCCCCTCCACCCTATACCCCCTCACCAACCATCATTCTCCCACCTTAGTTCATGTCCATGGGTCGTACATATGATCTTTGGCTTCTCCATTTCCCACACTGTTTTTAACCTCTCCCTGTCTATTTTGTACCTACCATTTATGCTACTTATTCTCTGTACCTCTTCCCCCTTTTCTCCCCCTATCCTACTGATAACCCTCCATGTGATCTCCGTATTTATGATTCTGTTCCTGTTCTAGTTGTTTGCTTAGTTTGTTTTTTTAGGTTCAGTCGTTAATAGCTGTAAGTTGTCATTTTACTGTTCATATTTTTTATCTTCTTTTTCTTAGATAAGTCCCTTTAACACTTCATATAAGGGCTGGGTGATGATGATTCCTTTAACTTGACCTTGTCTGAGAAGCACCTTACCTGCCTTTTCATTCTAAATGAAAGCTTTGCTGGATAGAGCAATCTGGGATGTAGTTCCTTACCTTTCATGACTTCAAATACGTCTTTCCAGCCCCTTCTTGCCTGCAAGGTTTCTTTTGAGAAATCAGCTGAGAGTCTAATGGGAACTCCTTTGTAGGTAACTGTCTCCTTTTATCTTGCTGCTTTTAAGATTCTCTTTTAAGGGTAATGGGTAATGTAATTATGGGTCAAACTTAAGGGTCTTGGGTAATGTAATTATGATGTGCCCTGGTGTGTTACTCCTTGGGTCCAGCTTCTTTGGGACTGTCTGAGCTTCCTGGACTTTCTGGAAGTCTATTTCCTTCACCAGATTGGGGAAGTTCTTTATTATTTTTTCAAATAAAATTTCCATTTCTTGCTCCTCCTCTTCTCCTTCTGGCATTCCTGTGATTCAGATGTTGGAGTGTTTGAAGTTGTCCCAGGGGTTCCTTAGCCTCTCCTCATATTTTTGAATTCTTGTTTCTTCATTCTGTTCCATTTGGATGTTTAGTTCTTCCTTCTAGTCCAAATCATGGATTTGAGTCTTGGTTTCCTTCCCTTTACTTTTCATTCCCTATATATTTTCCTTTATTTCACTTTGTGTAGCCTTCTTTTTGCAGTCTAGCTCAGTCAGTTCTGTGAGCATCCTGATTACTAGTGATTTGAACTCTGCATCTGATAGGTTGGCTATCTCCTTGTCACTTAGTTCTTTTTCTGGAGTTTTGATCTGTTCTTTTATTTGAGCCATATTTCTTTGCCTGGGCACACCAGTCTGGATGGATATGTAAGTCCTTGATTGTTTGACTTCCATGCAAATGATTTTCTGGCAGTTCTGGTTCTTTGTTTTTAGGTTACTTGTTATCCTTCTTTTGGTTGTGGGAAGAAGTGAAGCATTTCTGCCTATGCCTCCATCTTGGCTGGAACCTCTTGGACACTAATTTTTTTTAATGAGCCTCATGAAAGATTTATTAATGTTGTTTATCTTTTCAAAGAATCAGCTATTAGTTTCATTGATCTTTTCTATTGTTCTTTTAGTCTCTCTTTCATTTATTTCTGCCTTGATCCTTATTGTTTCCTACCTTTCACTAACTCTGGGTTTTGTTTGTTCTTCTTTTTCTAGTTCCTTTAAGGAGAAAGTTAGATTGTTTATGTGAAATATTTCTTGTTTCTTGAGGTAGGCCTGTATTGCTATGAATATCTGTCTTAGAACTGCTTTTGCTATGTTCCAGAGATTTGTGGGGTGGTCACTGTGTTACTATTTTCATTTGTCTTGAGGTATCCCTTAATTGTCTCCCTGATTTCTTTTTTAAAGGATTTTATTTATTTTTAGATGGAGGGGAAGGGCTGGAGAAAAAGAGGGAGAGAAATAATGTGTGGTTACCTCTCGTAGTCCCCTTGTTGGGGACTTGGCCCACAACCCAGGCATGTGCCCTAGGCTAGGAATCAAACCTGCAACCCTCTGATTTGCAGTCTGGTGCTCAATCTACTGAGCCACACCACCCAGGGCACTCCTTGACTTCTTAACATTAAATATTTAGTATCATGTTATTTAGTCTTCCCTGTTTGTCCTGTAAAATGTTCTACATTCACTTGAGAAAAATGTATATTCTGCTGTTTGGGATGGAATTGTCTGTAGACGTCTGTTACATCGGTCTAATCTAATGTGTCTCTTAAGGCCACAGTTTCCTTGTTGATTTTCTGTCTGGGTGATCTGTCCATTGATGTAAGTGGGGTATTAAAATCCCCTACTATGTTACTGTCAGTTTCTCCCTGTTAATATTTGCTTTATGTATTTAGGTGTCCCCTTATGTGGTTGTGTAGATGTTTACTGGAGTTATATCTTTTGTTGGATTGGCCCCTTTATGATTATTCCCTTCTTTGTCTCTTGTTATAGCCTTTGTTTTAAGGTCTGTTTTGTCTGATACAAGTATTGCTACCTCAGCTTTTTTGTTTCCACTTGCCTGAAATATATTTTTCCATCTTTCTACATTTTGTCTGAGCATATCTTTCAATTTGATGTGAGTTTTTTGTAGACACAGTATATCTCTGGGTTTTGTTTTTTTGTTTTTGTTTTTAAATCCATTCAGCCACTCATATCTTTTGATTGGAACATTTAGTTCATTATACTTAGTAATTTTACATAATTATGGCTATTTTATTATTTTCTAGGTTTTATTGCAGTTCTTCTCTTTTACATAGATGAGTTTCTGTAGGTACTTGTTTGAATTCCTTTCTCTTTAATTTTTGTGTATGTCTTAGAGGCTTTAGGTGGTTTCCATGAGGTTCATGTGGATCACACCATATTTATAGCAGGCTGTCTTAGGTTGATATTGCTCAAGTCCAACACATTCTGAAACCATCGCACATTTTACTCACCTTGTCCGTGTTCGTTTTTGTGTCTGTGAACGTACCCCTTGATTTATTATTGTATTTACACATAATCTTACTACTTTTGTCTTTCCATCTTCATACTTGCTTTATAATTTGTTGATCCACTACTTTTATTAAGTGTTTGCTTTTATTAGTGAGCTTTTTCTATTCCTGCATTTTATTTTTAGTTTTGGCCTTTTAGGCTTAAAGAAGTCTCTTTAACATTTCTTATTATGCCTGTTTAGTCGTGGTGAACTCCTTTACCTTTTGCTTGTCTGGAAAATTCTCTCTCCTTCAATTCTGAACAACAGCCTTCCTGGATATAGAATTCCTGGTTGTAGATTGTCCCTTTCATGACCTTGAATGTCATGCCATTCCTTTCAGCCTTCATTGTTTCTGTTGATGAAAAATCACCTGGTAATTTTATGGGAGCCCTCTTGTACATATCTAGCTGCTTTTCTTTTGCAACTTTTAAGATTATTTGTCTTTAACTTTTGGCATTTTAATCATGATGTGTTTTGGTGTGGGCCTCTTTGGGTTCATCTTGTT